AAATTCGAGTAGTTTTGACCCAGAAAGCGAAATTTGAATATCAGACACTTAGGTGCAAGATTATGCCAAAATCTCATGTTTTCCGTCCCGTTTTTGCTCATTTCTCGAAGGCAAAATGAGCAAGAAAGCTCATTTCTACATGATTCTAGACAGAAATAAATGGCCTTTTTAGAAAGTGAACCATGGATAAGAAAATGTTGGCAGTTTTCTCAACAAATGCTTGAATTCAAGAAGTTTTAGATTTGAATGGTTTTTTTTGAGCTGCAAAATCCACTTGATCATGACGCTGCTTTTTTCGAAGTTTCTCAAGAACCATTCGAGCCACAGAATTCGTTTTGGCATCATTGGATAAAGAATTGAAAACTCGATTCAGTCGTAACAACTTGAGTGAGGAAATTCCAGTAGTTTTGACCCAGAAAGCGAAATTTGAATATTTTAACGCCCCATCAATGGAAATCAATCACAGAAATCCATTGAGGAAAAAGTGAATATTAACTCAGCTCTCGCCTTGGCCTGGCTTGAATGAACAGCAAACTATTGATTGTGTAAACAAAGAACATTTACATTTGACTCTGCTCTACAGCAGAATATTCCGTTCATGAATCGAGGTCTGGTTTCGTTGAGGGGTTGCAAGTTTATTGATGAAACTCTGCATTGACTTCATGGCGATTGTAGTTCCCCTTCAGTAAAGAAAACTGAATAAATGGATCTATTGAATCGGAAACTTCTAGATAGGTCGTGGTGGGAGAAGAATGTGAAACTCGAATGAATCTTCTGGGAGTTTCTCGACGCAAAATTAAACGGTTTTGTCGCGTTCGCATACTGTGAAGAAGCAGCCGATCTTCGCCCAATTAAAATAAAACTCGACTGGATCCGCCCCAGATGAAACTTGCGGAAACAAAATGTAGATTGTTTGTTAATAACTTTTTCAATACATATAAATAAAGAAAAAGCATCCGATCTTCGCCCGATTAAAGTGAAACTCGACTAAATTCCCTTGACGGGTCAAACGCAAAAAAAACACAAGTGATTGATATCAACTATTGTGGAAACTTGGCCCATCTGATTGCATTACAGCCATCTTCCACAATCAAAAAGGAAGACTGCCGATACCTTGAAAGTCTTCCATTATTATAAAGAAGCACCCGATCTTCGCTCAATTACAATGAAACTCATCCAAATCTTCCTCAGCCTGCCAAAGGCAAAAAGTTGTAGTCTTCAGTTTCCTTTAATGCAGATTAGACTAATTCCAACCCTCATGACGCGTGGATCCGATACGACCCCTTAATCTAGTCAAATACCGTCGACTCCAACAATAATTGGAAAAAGCGTTCGCGTAGGCGACTCAACAATCAAGGTGAGGGTCGAGGCGTGTTTTTATTCAGAAATAAACTTGGAAATTCATGAATGGATAGTCCATTGAGTGAAACGCCGACGTTTAACATGAATAGACTGGCTTGTAACAAGTACAAGTACCCGATTGCTTGGGAAAACGCTGATGACTTGACCACTCAAAATAAACAATTAGAGCCCAATTAGGAGCAGTTTCCGGTAAGAAAACGAAACTGAACCAGCGGATGGTTCAATGGCGAAGCCTGGGAAACAGGTTCGACCCCAAGCAGGGAGGCGCTTCATTCATAAAACTACCGATTCAGTATGGTGGTAAGGGGGCGGTTGAACCATTTCGGGAGACTGCCACCCTGCTCGGTAAGGGTGTTGTACATGCAAGCGTAAAGCGGACAATTGGGTACTTACTCTTCAGTTCTCTCGGTCATGGTTGGTCACCGGAAACCTTCTAATGTCCGGAATTAGTTTGTTGATGAAAACCCACATATCAAATCCACAGTAAACCAAAAATCAACACCATTGAGAAAAATCCACTATATATAAATTGTCATCACTGTCACATCTATGAATGATGGTTTGGCAGACGAGCGGAGCGCTGCTGATTGGTTAGGCCGACCGCGATCGATAGGGGGCGGCAACAGTCAATAGGGCCTTATTGCCAAAGCTCACCACGATGCGCTAAAGTAGGCAAGTTTCTCTTTGAAAACTCCAGCTTTACCTGCGGGAACCATCTGGTTGCCTTAAGGAAACTTGCCAGGTTTTACTGAGTCCAAAACTCCGGTTTTATCAAGGTTCAGTTGAGCTGACACCGAGCGCCATCTAGTAGAACGCGTCATTTAGCACAGCGATTTGAATCATGGCGCCAAAGCGCAACTATGGATTAATTTGGGTGTTTTATCAATAAATCCTTTGGCAGGTCTCCGCCGTGAAATTGCAGGTAGGTTGGGGATAGTTTCATTGCACAGCCCCTGTAGGATAAGGTTTGACAACGCCCCAATATGCCAAATCCCCCGAAAAATTACCTCCAACTCACAACCGCCCACTGCACGTAGCTTTGAATTTTCCAGAAAAATGGGCTTCGTCGTGGACAAAGTTTCCGAAGACTCATTCTACGAGAATCTACTCCTGGGCCTGTCCAGAGTGCTGGATCGGAGCCAATGCGTGTCCAAGTTAAGCCTCAAAAGACTGTCAGGAATACGGTAGGAAACCCGTTCAAAACCTACGCGTTTTTCCAGCTTGCGGGTTTTTCAGGCAAGTGGATATCAGGGCTTGGGAGCACAACAACGGCGTGATTCTTCCCGAAGACTTGCGCTCGTTCTATTCTTCAACCGACGGGTTCCTGTTCAGCTACGAGTTTTCCTATGACTTCCACAGCAGCGACGAGGAAAAGAACATTCGATTGGGGGTGATTCAAATCAACCCTCTGAATGATTTGATACGCACTTTCGGGTACGAGACGAAGAATACGGCCCAAGTTCAACATAATGGAAACATCCACTCGTTGACTTTGTCGAGGGAGAGTAAGGTAAGTGAATAAAGTAAGCTGAAGCCAAAGGGAGAGTCAAGTAAGAAAACGGTAGTATTCAGCGGCTTTTTACGCCCCAATCCTGACCAATGAAGATGCAAACGGCAAAGTGATAAAGCATGATTAAACCGAACATTCGTTCCAACGTTGGACCGAACATTTGAGGCAAAAAGTTCGATAGTTCGTGCGGCAAATGTATCTGCTACACGGTGTGTCGAATGCTTGAAGCAAAATTCCTTTTGAATTGTGGTTCAAACGTTTGTCTACATTCGTCAATATGCAGGATGGTTTACACACAGGTCACAGTGTGAATGGTTTACTCTTTACTTTAACACTTTGTATTAATAGTTATCAAAATTTGGCCCAAATTCCATTAAAGTAATTTTCAACAAGAACGCACGCAATTCTGATTTTTTTTCCTGACTGCGTGTACTTACATTTTTAATGCCAGGGCTTAAAGTAGCAACAACGCTACGTGGAAAAATACACCGAAACGTATTTTAATTGATAAATAGAGACAATAAAAGACTGAAACCCAGGAATTAATTTTGATATCCTAATAAGTACATGCAGTCAGGAAAATAAATCAGAATTGCGTGAGTTCTTGTTGAAAATTACTTTAACTTTTTACTTTAATTACTACATGTTCCCACGTTCGCGTTGGAAGCTCGACATTCGTAGCTCAAAGTTCGAAAGGCACACAGAAGGCCAAAACGATGCGATGAACCGTCCAGCCTCCAACGTTGGAAGGTGTTCGTAGCATCGTGTAGCGCCGGCATTATACAGTGTGGCTCTACTGGAGAACACCAGACAGTTTAAATGATCGTTTCAAGGGCTTTTTGCGCTTACCGAGTGTCTCTAAGGTGTTCGAGCTGGCCCACGTGGATGAAAAAGGCAAAGTGGTCCTAGTGTACCCCACAACGTACTCAGTGCCCGCCATCTGGCTCTACAGCGGCCAAATGCACTTCAGCTACTTGGCCGAGGACTTCACCAGGTACTTCCGAATGTGCTTAGCACACTTGGGTAAGCCGCGCCCCGACTGCGTCTGATTCCCCTAAAATCCTCGAACTCCAGGCATCCCGTGCTGGCAGTACATCTTCTCCAAAGAGCCCCTCCCGGAGTGGAGCAGAGAGATGTTCAACCTCATAGTCCCGGGAGTCTTACCTGAAGACCGGAACCTAGTGGAGGGACGCAGCTACAAACACCCCATCGAACACACCAACAAGATCGATCCGAGTATTTTCCTGGTTTCCAGCAGCAATCCGATGCCGGCAATCGACTCAAGTTACAGCAACGTGCGGCAGCCATCCGAAGCCAAAGCGCGAGAGAAACAGAAGGTGAAAGCCGTCCCCCGAAGGGCCATGAGCTGCAAAAGCAAGAAGGGAAATTAATTAAAACACTAATGTCCCTAAAGTTGCCGGCTTTATTGGCAGTTTTGCTTCTTCCAGCCTCGAGGGCTCAATATGAACGTGAAAGCAAGCCTCGGTTAGTCCAGCGGTCGGTGTTTAACCAGATTGAACGACTGATTGGTGGAAAGCAGCCGGTCAGTTCGCTCGGTGAGAGGGCTGGACACATCGCTATTCTCCACCGCAGGCTTTTCATGCTCAAACAGACCCTCATTGGACGATATCGTGTCCATGTCGCCTGAAGGAACACCCTCTAACTTCATTCCGAAACGGCTAAGAATCGCTTAGACACTTACTAGAAAGCCATTGCTTCAACAACTGTTGGTTGCCCACGTGAACATCGGCAGACACTGAGGACAAGCTCCGGCTGTTCGCTTTAGAGGCCTCAATAACCGAATCGCTTGGAAATTCATCCAAGTCAGTCAAATCTTCTCTAGCATAAGAGTCCATTGACCGACTAAACCGGTCCTCGTCGCCTCGTGCCGACTCCTTCCTAATATCAATTGACTTGGTGATCATCGAGTCGAGATTGGCTGAAGGATCCAGCGGGTCTGTACCTAAAAAAACCCCCATAGAACCTCCACAGAAATCTCCAATCCCGTGCCGTTAACCTGCACTAACCTTCTTCAATTGAATCTGAGTCCTCCAGCCTCACAATTTCAACTCCTTCGCGAATTTCAATAGCACTGCTCTCGCTCGCCTCTGAAAACCCTCAAGCCTCCTCAACTGATCAAACAACCTCTGCAATTCCTCACCGAACTTAAATCCCCCGGATGCGCACCGGTGAAACAGATCCTTGCTAATCTGCCGGTTCAAATAGGCCTCGGGCACAGCCAAAACTTCGTTGGAACACTTCGGACTTTGGTCACAGTTGTCCGGTTTTTTTGCCGTCGATTTGCCGAAGAGACTGAACTTTTTCTTGGGCGTTGGTTGGGGCGAATGGGGCGGCGATCCGATCCGTTGCACCCTCAGATCATCAGTGAGTCTGTCTGGAAAAAGCGGATTTTAGGACGGGAACACTTGCCATTGTGCGACAGTGGACGGAAACTACGAAAAGCACACAAAAAACGGGGGAGCGGCTACGGAAATAATAAAAATAACACAGGCCAACACTAATAACCTTTACCTAATAGAGGATCGTTTAAATTAGAGCTTGACAGGCTAGAAAGGGACGACGGACTAATCAGCTTGTCCAGGGACGCAGCGTTGTCCGCCCTAGACGATTCGGTTGTCATTTTTTTGTCCAGGTGCAACGTAAATCTACAAAGTATTATTCGTTTTGTTTCTCTCATTTTCAGCCCAGTATTTTCTTCTGTGTGCCTTTTCATGGTTTGCAGGCTCGCTGCTCATTCACTTACCCCATGCCGGGTCGCTGTTCCTCCACATCTTCGCCCAATAGAAGGTGGCGGAGATGTTTTAGAGTCTCCTTCAAGTCCACGGTTAACTTCCGATGCATAAACCATCTAAGTTGGCTGATGTTTTTGTTCAGCAGGAACACTGCGTAGCTAAAATGCGCGCGATCCCTTCCTTTGGTATAGAGCGGAAATCTGAAAGAACCGGAAAAATTTAACTATGCGTGCATGATTAACCATTAGAATCAAATTCCTACAGACGATGCTCTAATAACCCGGAAAACCCCCAATATTCTAGTGGCTGTGCTGTGCAAATTTCATCAACTCACTCTCTTTCTTTGTCCGGTATATCCGGATAGGCCTGATCGTAAATGACTGATCTGGATCCGAAATGTTTGACTGGGTGTCTCAGAGGAACTTGCAAGAATATCGAGCACATTATCAGTATATGGCAAATGTAGCCCAACACCACCGAGACGCCTGCATCTTGATAGTCTGCAATTATTGCAGAATTAGCTTGCTTCTAGACTCTGTTGCTTGAGATTACCTAGAAGCAGCTCGGAGTCGGGCAAGTGAATCCCCAACATGGTGTACTTGTTCTGGTTGGGCAGCTTGTCTATTGGATAGATAAAAAGTAGCTCCTTAAGCAAATCGGTCTGGCGCAGCCTCAATTGCTCGCTAAGGCTCAGTAGGAGCTCCCTACTGCTGGTGAGGTTTTGCATGTATTCTTCCCAGTGTTGAGATTCTTTGCCCAGTATATGATAAAGAGACATCAAACTGCAATCTAGATGGAACACATTTAGAATTTGACTGATTTACTGATCATCTTGGGCCTTACTTTGCTTCTCATTCTCCTCAATCAAGGCAACTTGCTGCTGCTTCAGCTTCCTCAAGTAAACGCTTCGTCTGTCTCTCTCCTCATGCAGCATCCGCAGCCGGAATCTGCACGTTTCAATGCTCTTACTGGCAGCGTTCATTGCCTGCCTTTCGGCTTTCGTCGGCTTTTCATGCAGCAATTTATTCAGATGGTTCATTGTGAGCAGCTGCGGAGCGAATCTGATGTTGCTGGAGCTGGAGATTTGTAGCTCGTAGTCATCTGGAATGTTTAAAAAAATCTTGAATATTGATCAATTATTGCTCAATTGCAGCGCGTCTACTACCTTGTTTCGACTCTCTTTCAGAGGCACTCTGAATCCTCTCCCTGATGTTCTGTACATCAAGTTTCCTCCTTTTGAGCTCTCGCTGCAATTGCTGCAATTTCCTCAGTTTGTCCAGAGTGTAGCTGCTGGCGATTTCTCCCTTCGGCGCCTTTATCGCCGCCCTCCTATACAAAACCAGGCCACCAGGTGAGGTTGGCAGTAGATTCAGGTTGTTCTTAAAGGGCGCGTCCACGTCGTTCCGCAAACAATCTTGACTAGTAAAATATACACCTTGCATAAAAAATATCACAGTATTGGCTTTGAAGTATTTCGGCTGTAGGTCTGTAATTTTGTTCCCCAGATAGACCAAGCCGGAAAAATTCACCCCCCAGGTCAGAATGATCTGGTCTTTCAGTTTGGAGCTCTTCCACACTCGCACCACCACCGAAGACATGTTGGTGTTCATCGAACTGCTATGGGGCAGCTCTTTCCACTTGGGATTCTTGCTCTCCAACTTTTCGCTGGTGTAAAATGGCGAAGACATGGGAGTGTTGTGGAGGGTGAAGTAGTAACTGGCCTTTTTCTCCTCGGGAATGTTGTAAGCGAATATTTGGTACACATGGCGCAGCCTCAACTGGAAAACCCCCAAGTCAAACAGACTGGCTGTCGGATGATTGAACAATCGCGCTTACTTGCTGGGTGATTAGGGAGACCCATTTCCTACACCGCTGTCTGCCCAGTGCGAATTCGGACGTTGTAAAATTGAGGATATCAGCAAATTCACAATGTTCAGCCATGATAGCACTAGGGGAATGGCAGCATAGCCGCACATCACCTGACAACGCGTTAAACACTGTTAACCGGCAATAAGCGAACTGGCCACATTGCAAAACGAAAACCGCACAAACTGGCACTTTTCACTTTCACTGCAGGCAATTGAATGTTGTTTTGTTATTGAGATTTTTAACTCTTGGCCTCTGACTTTATTTTCGTAGCTGACTGACGATCTGACAATGTCACTAATTGACATTTTATCCAGGCTTTTAGTCAACCAGGAGTACACACGGAGCACACTGGTTGCTGCGGATCAGGAAAAAGTCAGCGACAGATTGTCATCAGTGTCAGCAGTCAGTTTGACTTTGCATTTTGTACATTGACATTTCTGTATTTATACCAACAAATTGGTCATAGCTTTTTTCGAATTTTCCAAAATCCAGCGCCCCATTGGACCTCTGGAATGATGTGCTTTGAAATATAGATCAAGTGTCAATCGCGTTCATTATCTATTATCTGGCGAAAGCCATCACTTGGTTGGTGTTCTAAAGTTTCGATTTCGCGGTGGTGATTCACCTAATCTAAATTGCCCCCAGTACATTCAGTTCAGCTCGCGAGAATGGCATCAGGAAGTACTTTGCAGAAGGCTATCGATCTAGTTACCAAAGCCACTGAAGAGGACCGGAATAAGAACTACGAGGATGCGCTACGGTTGTATGAACATGGAGTGGAGTACTTTTTACATGCCATCAAGTGTAAGTTCAGCTACATCATTTGCTACACAAGAACCTAACAATTTTTCCCCTGAGAGCAAAAGCTGACCGCACAATGTTACTAGCTTATAAGGAAACCCACCGATAATTGAATTTTTCAACATTTAGATGAGGCCCAAGGCGACAAGGCAAAAGACAGCATAAGAGCCAAATGCGTGCAGTACTTGGAACGAGCCGAGAAAATCAAGGCCTCGATCAAAAAGGGCAAAAAGAAGCAAGTCCTGGACGGCGGTTCCAAGTAAGTTTCCGTTGAATTGGCCCAAGGCTCCACTTAGGGCTTTGTTACTTACCAGAGAGGACAAGAAGAGCAGCGATAGTGACGAAGACGGAGACGACCCCGAAAAGAAAAAGTTGCAGAGCAAGCTAGAAGGAGCCATCGTGGTGGAAAAACCCCATGTAAAATGGTCGGATGTAGCGGGCCTGGATGCGGCCAAAGAAGCCCTGAAGGAGGCGGTAATATTGCCCATCAGGTTCCCTCACCTGTTCAGCGGCAAACGCGTTCCCTGGAAAGGCATTTTACTTTTCGGCGTAAGTCCAGCAGCGTAAGGCGTTTATTTGCACTGAATCCCACAGCCCCCAGGTACTGGTAAATCATACCTAGCCAAAGCCGTGGCTACGGAAGCGAACAACTCGACGTTCTTCTCAGTATCATCGTCCGATTTGGTATCGAAATGGCTGGGAGAATCGGAGAAACTGGTCAGGAACCTGTTTGAATTGGCCAGAGCCCATAAACCGAGCATCATTTTCATTGATGAAGTCGATTCGCTTTGCTCCTCTAGATCGGACAACGAATCTGAAAGCGCCAGGAGGATTAAAACGGAATTTTTGGTGCAGATGCAAGGTGAGAATCGGTGCAGGGTTGCGATGTCCGTTACGGTTGGTGCTTGTAGGAGTGGGGCACGAGTCCGAGGGTATTCTGGTGCTGGGCGCCACAAACATTCCATGGGTTTTGGACGCGGCCATCAGAAGACGTTTCGAAAAACGAATCTACATCCCTCTGCCGGAAGAACCTGCCCGAATGACCATGTTCAAGATCCATTTGGGAAACACGCGCACCGAATTATCAGACGACGATATTAAGGAACTGGCCAAGCGCACTGATGGGTGGGTTATTTCGAAATCAGCCAAACAAACCGGGTGGGTTTTCACGGATTTACTCTTCCAGATATTCCGGGGCGGATATCAGCATAGTGGTGAGGGACGCCCTGATGCAGCCGGTGCGAAAAGTGCAGACAGCCACCCACTTTAAGAGAATAAGCGGGCCTAGTCCAAAGGACCCCAATGTTGTGGTCGACGATTTGCTGATTCCCTGCTCCCCTGGAGATCCCGGCGCCATTGAAATGTCCTGGATGGAAGTGGATGGGGATAAACTGGCTGACCCTCCCGTCACTATGGTAAGTTTCCTATTGCAGACAGGGCTGAAGCCGAAGAAGAGCGAGATTTTTTGAGGAAAAGTCGCTACCTCAACAGATTGAAATGGATTTTTTTTCAGAACGACATGCTGCGATCGTTGGCCACCTCAAAACCGACGGTAAACGATGAGGATTTAATAAAATTGGAAAAGTTTATGAAAGATTTCGGACAGGAAGGTTAACGTGCAAGTTTGTTGCGCTGTTGTAAAGTTATATTAATATTCGTTTTAGTACTGAAACTTAAGTCATCTCAATTTAACGAGGCACTTTAACAAATGTAGCTTCAGTTCAGTGGAATAATCGCCTTATTTTTTTTTAAATTCTGTTTATCGTTAAGAACGGTTTGTATTTCTATTGAATAAATGATTTTTAAAGTTGATTTGGTATCTACAAATAGTTTTCCGCATCGTTTATACACTTTCGGATAATTTCACATTCAGTAGAAGACTTTAAACTCCTGAAAATTTCACAGAAATCTCACTAAATCCTGATTTTTGTCGAGCTGGGGCAAAATGCTCGAGCAAGTTGCAACTTGAAACTAGGACAGTCTATAGAAGAACCTTACAAAACACCCGAAAATTGGGTGCTCATGCTTTTTGCCGACTTGAGACCGAAATGAAGCGTATGATGCAACCAATCCACACAAGACTCAATCGTAAACACTGCAAATCTAGTGTTTTCCACGGAATGGGCCCTAAACCAAAGAGTAGGTGATATTTACTGATGGAAACATATACAGGGTAAGGACAGCATTTTATTACACTTCTCTAAAAATCACAACTCAGAAGTTTTTTTAACTCAAACATGAACAATACGTTTTCTTGCTTTGTCCCATAGTGTACATAGGAAGCATGATACTGAAGGCCTTGCGGAACCAACTAGACCCAAGTGGCAGAAACACTCAAGGTGTTGCAGGAAATTAATAAACACGCCCTTTAAAGCAACGCCATTCATTTTGGCGATTCAATAAGTACATCGAAACTTGACGCTGGTCGCTTGGACCTTCAAAGGAACCAAAGTGGCCACTCAAACCCGATCACTATGCAGGACAATGCCGCAAAAATTCCGTATCAAAGTACACGATCGTTACCGTTATATCGTCCCTAAATACCCTCACAACATCGTCCGGCAAGGTGAGCAGCTGGGAAATCTTCGAGTGATCAATCCCATACTCAGTGCCACCCAGGGCGTTCCGGATGATATGCGTAGCAGCGTTTGAGTCTTTCGGCTTGATCTTCAACCCTTCCTTGCGCTGAAGCAGCATGTCGTTGATTTCCGCAATTTTCATGTTTTTCCTGGGCAATTTTAGTGGGTGCAGTGTGACTTTGCCTTTCATGTGTTCCCCCACTAGTCTGATTGCCTGCAACGCCAACCCTCGTTATTTAGCATTTATTTGACTATGAAAAAATCACCTGCAAAGGAGTGAGGCAATCCCATAAACCGTCCGAGGCAATAATGAGGAACTTATCCCTAGGAGTGAGCTTGTGATAGGTCACATCTGGCCTGGCGGTTAAATAAGGCGGCGAGTGGTAGTTGAGCGGGATCATTTGGGTTCCGAAGTTTTTCGCGACTAGATTGGTCATGATTTCCTGAAAACATCGAAGGTTTAGTTTGCTGAAAGCAGTAGAAGAGTCAATGTTGCGACATGAAATCATATGAACCTTGAAAAGAGGCCGAAAACGCTACTAAGAAAATATAAGTTGGTTTTCGCAAATCCGGCACGCAACTAAACTAGGAAATGAATGCAGTCGGTTCTACCTTGCTCCATTTAAACCTAAAATCACCCATCGCCCTTAGCGGGGCCAATTGCCCCAACAGCCTATCCATTTTGATCACAGTCTGCTTTTCTTGGGCAGGATGCTCAGAGTAGATCCTGTCCAACTCCATCTGATTGTACGTGTTGTGCTCTTCAGTAAGCTTTTTCGCTATCCATGAGTTCGTTTCCGACAGCGATCCTGCAAAAACTGCAGTTAATAGTGGAAAACTCGCGCCTTCAATGTCCCTACTTCGATTAACTTTCTAGTTATGTAGTTCAGCTCTTCATCGCCTTATGCGATATACAGATTTATTAAACATTCCCATTGCATAAAGCACAAACAAAGTTACAACATAACTTATCAAACCAAGGGCGGACCCAGACCCGGACCCCCATTCAATTCTCTATCCAACGATACCAAAACGAATTCTCTGGCTCGAATGGTTCTTGAGAAACTTCGAAAAAAGCAGCGTCATGTTCAAGTGGATTTTGCAACTCAAA